CACCACCACAAACACACACACACACACACACACACACACACACACACACACACACACACACACACACACACACACACACACACACGTTACCCTGAGGTCTCCCAGGAGCTCTTCCCAGGGAAAATCCAAGTCAGAGAATTCACATATTCTTCAAGTTAATAATCTTTCAGTGATAGGGAGTTGGGAGTGGGGAAGGAGGGGGGGTTCATATTAATCATTTGGAGTACCCAGTTCTTAAGGGAAGTTTGGCTAGCTGGTTTCACATTTCCTTAAACACTGGAGTAGAGGGCCTGAAATCATCAGCAGAAGAATTAGTGAGTAGTCTGGGAGAAGTGGAGGAGAGCTAGAGTCTGCTTTACACTAAAAGGGCTTGATGAGTAAAGTGAGTGGACATCAGATTAAGAACCGTGTGGTCCCTGGCCATGGGAACCTCCTATTAGGAGATGGCCAGTGAGGTGTAGTGGTGCCTACCCAAGTTTTTCCAGTTACAGATCACTCTCCACCAAGGTGTGCCCATCCTCCCCACAGTTACCAAGATGACTCATTCCCCACATAAGATGTCTTTTCACTGCCTCTGAGAGATGCTCTGAGCTTCCTGGGAATGTGATCTCTAACTGCTTGCAAGAACCCACTCTGCGGGAGGATATGTGGTAGAAAGGAAGTAAAAGCTACAGGCGATAGGCATGTGGGGTCTGGTGGAAAGCAACACTTGAAACACTCCAAATTCAAAAGCTCACAGTCTGAACATCTGTTTCAAGTTCATCTTAACAGATCTTTCCTTGGTCCTGCTTCTTACCACACAGCCACGGCTGCTGAAGCCTGGGAACGGCTGCCAAAGCCTGGGAACGGCTGCCTGCCACTTTGTTTGACACGAGGGAGGGAGCTCAGAAATTAATTAGCCCAGTTTTGTGAATTAAATGAAATTTGTGAGCACTTGTGAAGCCACATGCGGTAACAATGTGTCTTGTGGTTGCCTTGATGGAGGCAGCTGTTCACTTCTGAGTACAATGGGGTCCTCTGTTAGGACATGTTTTAACATATGTTTCTCTAGCTTATCTGACAGCAGACATTGGATGGAACCAAAGCCACCTCTGCCCTAGGCCGCGGTTGCCACAGTCCTTGGAAAGTCCTAGGGCCCAGTGGCTTAGTGTATGTTGAAGCACAGGACTGAGGAGGTCAGTTCCTGTAGGTCTTCTCCAGGTCATTGTTTTCCTTTGTTGTCATTGTTATGGTTTGTCTGTTTTAAGGTGGTGCATGAGTCTTAGGGTCTTTAGTAAACCCAGCAAGTGACAGCAAGGCCCAGTAAAAAGAGGTCAGATAAGAAACACTGTAGCTAGCTTGAGAAAAGATGGAGCAAGTTTTCATTAGCCTTAGAGAGTGTGCTCTGTGCTCTGGTGTATCCCAGGGTGGAGAGGTTCATAAGGGCAAGACGCTCAGCATTCCTATGGCAGGGTGCAGCCTTCTAGGAAGGCATGTGTGCAGAAAGCACAGTGTTTAGAACCTGGGCTGATGGTTCGGGAGGGAAGGGAGAGCAGGGAGGAGAGTGCATCCTTGCCACGTCTAAGCTGTCTAACAAGCTTCCTGATAGGATTCTAAGGCTACACATAGAAAGAGCTTGAAGGCCCTTGGGCTGCAGAGATGCATTCCTACAAGCTCTAACAGACCGTGATTTACTTCGTGTCTGCTGCATTTCTTAACAATTCACACACCGACACCTTTTCCCATATTATGTTCAGATAAAAATCTAAGTGGGTCATGACCAAGTAAGTTTAAACAAACTAAGGTTTATGTTTTATATTTAATACAAACAGAATTGTCCCCATCCTTTTCAAAATCATTTGGCATGGCTTTAACTTTTTGTAGAATGGTTAAAGTTTTGAAGATCTAAGGAGTTTGGACGTCAGAGAAAAGTTCATTAAATTGTCTCCTGTGTCAGATCTTAGGAGACTGTGCTAGTTTCTGAGCTATGGGAGTCACTAAGGCACACAACATCCCTTGCTGGCAAGGAGCCTCGTTTCCATTGGAGAATGTTAAGAAGCATGATGGGGGCCAGCAGATGCTCAGTGCTGACAAACCTGACGAGCTGAGTTTCTTCCCCAGGACCCACATGCTTGGAAGGAGAGAACCAACTCCCCAAATCTGTCCTCTGACCTCCACACATATGCTGTGTGGTGCTGTGGCACAGGTCCCTCACCCAACCACCTACACACACACACACACACACACACACACACACACACACACAATGTAATAAACAATTTAAGCAGTACCCTGGGGGTGGGGAGCGAATAAACGGACCAATAACATCAGACTGTGATAAGCAAAAAGCAGATAAACCACAGAGGTAGAAGAAAAACAGACACAAGCCAGAGCCTATCAGAGAGCGGCAAGTGTGACAGGAAAAAGTCAAAGCTAACTTGATCTGAAGCAAAGGGGGCGTGTCCAGATCTGTCCTGCGGAAGGGGCAGAGGAAGTGGGCTCTAGAGAGTCACAAGATGATGACTAGGACTTCCAAAGGGCCAGGGATGTGGAGGAGGAAGGAGCTTTTGCAGGGATTTGTCTCTGAGTCATCCTTAAGGAGCCTGCTCCTGCTGACACACAGACTGTGTCTCTCAGCAAAGGGCCAAGCCAGCCAGGACCCGTTCCTCAAGTGGCTAAGGTTGAGGACCACTTGCTCATCCACACAAAGAAGGGTTTCAGACTTTCTGCTCTCTCCACCAGACCCTCGACGGGTAGCAGGACTACATTCAGCCCTCAGTGTCTCCTGGCAGACCTATCTGTCAGCCATCGTCTGTGAGCATGATGCAGAAAACATTTCTCACAGAAGAAAGGGTTTGCCTAGTGGGAGAAGAGAGAGAGCAATGGAGGGAATGATCAAAATAAGATATATATAATTATGTATGAAATTTTGAAAAGCACTTGCAAAAGAAGAGAAAGTCTCTGGGAGGGAACCGGATGGGGAAGGGGAAACTGGTTGGAATGTAAAATAAATAACGAAATTTAAAAAGAGTAGAAAACCTCTACTCATAATATTTAAAGGAATAAAAAGGGAACATTTTCTGTGTTGCAGTTACTCCTCCCCATCCTGGGAGCTGAATGGACTCAACAGCAGGGACTAATCTTGTCGATGGTACTGGCAGAATGACAATTTTGCCATAATATCTAACAATTATGTTTTTATATGTCTGCATTGTGCTAAGAACGTCACAAAGTATACAGTGTGACATACTTGTGCATTTTAATATTTAAAACGACCTGTAAGGTATATGTTATTCTCATCATGTTAATGCAGTCACTAAAAGTCAGAGAGCTAATTCCAAGACTACGGAATGGCAAGCATCAGGCGATTGCGGACTGGGGCCTTATAATCAATCCTTCCCTCAGCAATCATTGTCTACAATGATTTCCTTTTGCCTCTGTCTCTACCTCCCTCCTCCTCCCCGTGTGTGTGTGTGTGTGTGTGTGTGTGTGTGTGTGTGTGTGTGTGTGATTTAAACCACAAGCAATACAGAACAAACTTACACCATGGGTTTTCCAACTGTTCTAAGTTCTTTACTGCTTGAAATGTCTGAGGTTCCAGAGGTCTTGTAGGAAACATATCATTTCTTTCTTTCTTTCTTTTTTCTTTTTTGGTTTTTCAAGACAAGGTTTCTCTGTGTAGTTTTGGTACCTGTCCTGGATCTTGCTCTGTAGACCAGGCTGGCCACAAACTCACAGAGATCCACCTGGCTCTGCCTCCCAAGTGCTAGGATTAAAGGCGTGTGCCACCACTGCCCGGCAAAGTGTATCATTTCTAATCATTAAATTTTAGTGTTGCACATGGGTAGCACAAAAAATATCCATCTTCTAATTATTCTATTTCCTTCACCAATTTATAACCTATTGGACCATTTAGGTCTGTGAGAAATTTGGAAGCTTTTTTTTCCCCTAGAAAAAGTACCAAATATGTAAGACCTTCCACATTTTTGCATACACTGTTTTGATAAGTATGCCTCTAGTTTACAAACAGTCTTTTCAAGGGGTCTTCCCGAGGCTTTGATTTTTGTGGTACTTGGGATGTACATATTAGTCTCTTAAATCTGGGATCAACCCAGAGCAATGTAACAGTGTGTGACACAAATCTTCAGCCTAAGAGAAGTTTCCCTATGTTCGCTTTCCAACCCTCACAGGCTGGACATTGACATTCTAGATTCCAAAGACCACTGGGAATTCTTGGGTTAGGATTTAAAACACTGAACATTCTCACAATGTCTAAAGGAATTAAGAAAAATTCCCAGTTAAATAATTTCAATCTGGCACCAACAAAGACCATGGTTCAGGAGAACTTTACATTATGGTTTCATTAATCGATTGTTGATGCAAAGTGCATTCCTCGAGCCAATGTTTATGAATAACCGTCTACATTTCCAACCCATGTTTGGAGCTAGAAATACAAAGGACAAGACCCAAGGAGTTCAATGTCCAGTAGAAGGAGAGAAATGTGTGCCAATTAGGTTTAGATAAATGCCATATTTTAGTGGTGGGGTGGAAGCAGACATGTGAAGGAGATTTACAGCGAGGACACAAAGTGTAAGAATCACATAAACAGAGGCCGGAAAGGATGGCTCAGTGGTTAAGAGCCCTGACTGTTCTTCCAGAGGACCCGGGTTCAATTCCTGGCACCCACATGGCAGCTCACAACTGTCTGTAACTCCAGTTCCAGGGGACCCAACACCCATGGCAAA